AAACAGATCAAGCCAATCGACTGTCTCACCTATTCAGAGGGCCTGATCCAGTTAGGGGCCCCTCAGCCTTTGGTTCATAGTTCATGTGTTTCCATTCGTTTGGCTATTTGTCCCTGTGCTTTAAAGTTGGAATATTTTTGATATGGTCAAATAGTGAAATATATTATACTAAATAATATAACAAAGTATTTCTGCCTCACTCCTCAGATGTCATAGCTTCAGTGATATGCACTTCAACTCTAGGTAGCGTCTCAGCTACGTCTTCAGTAGCCCTGTGTAATCTTAGAGAATAAAATCTGTCTAAGTTTGGTAACTTGACTAAATTTACAATGAGTTTTATTGTCTGAAAATTAGAAAGAGTAACTTTCTACACCAGTATGAAACACAAAAATACCTATCTGATGTGCTTAATAAAGTGTAACTGTTGATTCTAGTTCTAATTTAATGATATATAACCATTTGCATTCAATTTTCTAAAGAACAATACAGCTTTATACCCCTAATAGTGAGAACAGAGTAATTGCCTTTCTATAGTGATAATTTATTCATGTAGATTGCCTTCTCTTTAGAAACATAAAATTTTGGGGATTTTATGTGTTTGCTCATTTTTCACTTTTTAAAATCCATTCAGATATGCCTATCTACATGCAGAGACTATGTCCAACACTTTCAGTTGTAAATGTTACTTCATTCTTCAAGTCAGATGTACTCATGAGAAATTGACTTCTAACTCAGGCACAGTTAAGCATCTCTACTGCTGGCTTAGATCACAGCAGGTCAAAGTGGTCCTAAACTCACAGGAATAGCATTGGATTTGTTAGGGGTAACTCTTGTGGGTAATAAATTTGCACAGTTGCAAATTGAGATCATTCCCCAAAGCTTATCATAACATATATATTCAGCCTTTTGGTAACTTCTTAAGTCATTCTGTGGGGCGTTTACCCACCACCCCCACAGCTTCCCAGAGTTTTCTTGAGTGAGAGCAGCAGGAAATATTAGATAGAAGGATTTATAGCGGAGAATCTTGTGGAGATAAACAGATAGAAAATAAAGGATAGCCTCAAGAGGGCCTGGAACCTATTCCAACGGGCCCCAACTGTCTCTGGCCCAGGGTTTTTATAGAGATGCCAAGGGGTGGAGCAAAAGACCTCCTCCCCCAGCACAGCCAAGTGCAGACCATCTCAGACACCTGCACTCAGGCCCGTGGTCCTCATCATCCTCTATTCAGACCTGCTGGGTAAAGCCACGAGGAACCCAAGAACGGGCTCCCACATCATTCATTAATGTATATGATGTAATTTTATACTTAACCATGAGGAATGAATTCTGTTCTCTAAAATATCATTTGATATTAAAAGCATTCCTAAGAAACAGACCCTTAAATACTAAGAAACTATGGCCACTTAATCAACTTGTTTGGTATGAAATCATCAATTTTATTAGGCAATGAAACATTGATTGTTTATATGAACATGTTATCAAGACCGAATATATCCAGTACCTCAATTGAGCATACCAACTGATTACTTAATACCAAATGGTCAGCTCTGAAACATATACATATTAATAACATTACAAAGACTGAGAAGGTTTCGTGTGTGTGTGTGTGTGTGTGTGTGTGTAAAACAATAATTTAAGAAAGAGATCAGAGATTTGAAAGAGAGCACAGAGGAGTACATGGGAGAATTTGGAGAAAGTAAAGAGAAGGGAGAAATTTTACAATCGTATTATGACATGAAATAATTTTAAATAAAAGACAGTATGTGTGTAGGAAGAATGTTATTTGCACTTGACTTGAAGGGACAGATTCCAAAATTATGTCTAATTCTCAGTCTGTTTTGTGAAAGTAAAATCCAAATGAGGACTGTCTTTATTATTTCTGTATGCTTAAAACTAAGGCTAAACTCAAGACAGGATGAGTTTTCAAAAATAATGACTGAATGAACAAATGATAGTAATTATAATCACAACTTGGTGAAAGATATAAAACCATAAAGATAAGCCTGATATATTTCATCATGCAGAATAATGGACACATCAGATGATTCTAAAACTCCATAATGAATTATCATTTTCCCCTAAAATAGAAAAACCCTTCTCACAGTTCAGTATGCTGCCATTTAGATGCTATTATTCTCTAATTTTTTTATGTTTGCTTATTTTATGTTCATAAGAATTTTGCATGCATGTATACATGTGCACCACGTGTCTGCCTTTTGCCAATGGAAGTCAGAAGAGTGTGTCAGATCCCCTGGAACTAGAACTATCGATGATGTGAAGCACCAGGTGGTACTGAGAACCAAACTCAGGACCTCCTCAAGAGCATCAAGTGCTCTTAACTGCTAAGCCATCTCTCCAGCCTATAATCTCTATTTCTCTAAATTTTAGTTTCTTCTCTTTATAAAGTTATAGTTAATTATAGAATATAAATCATTTTATATACTTTTATGTTTTTATTTCAGGTCATTTATACCTATTCTAAATTATATACAGTAATTTGGACCACTGCTTACTACTTAGTATCCTGAGGATCTAATCTCCATGGTGTCTTTTGTTTACTCAGCAAGCCAATCCCCTTGAGTACACACTAAATAGAACAGACAAAATTGGGACTAACCTAAATAGCACTGCTTTGGTACCAATTGTATCACCCCACTCATCAAGCTAGTAAAGAAATTATATTATATATTATATATAGCCTTCATTTATGATGATTTATGTTTTATATATCAAAGTATTATTTCTTAATATGGCATAGTTAGAATAATCTGGAGTCACAGATCCTTAGTCATATTTGGATTCAGGAGTAGAAATGAGTTTATGTATGTCTTTCTAAAGATTAAAAAGTTCTTAGGATTTTATTATTAATATTTTAGAGATTTGGTTACTAGCATAAGATAACAGAAATCAATTACAAAACTCTTTTTAAAAGCCCTGAAACACTATATTTAGACAAACTAATAACCCATTAGAAATGACAGTGACTATACCAGTAATATTTAGCAAAAAGTAAGTATATTTTTTCAGAAATAATTTTTTTTGCTTTTTAAGTGTATTTGTGTTCTGTATAAGCAATTTAAATATATACTTTTTATATATATAATTAAACAATACAATTTCAATTAAAACTATAAATTAAAAAATTAGCATTACAAATTAATTTTTCACTGTAGCAAAACTATGTTATAAATCATAGGACTGAAAAATTTTTCATGTTCTTATCATCTTATCAGTCTGTGATACTTTTTAGAATACAGGAAACATGGGATCAGTTTGGACAAAATTTTTAAAAGTTATTTGCTATACTAAGCGAATATACTTTGTTTTGGCTCTGCACATGAGTCCCAAACTTTGCTATGTATAAAATTCATAGACAACAAGAAGCTGCATGCCATATGACCACAAAGAGCAGATAATAGTGAGAACACCTCACTTCCAAGAAAACTTATACATAAAATTGAGGTAAATTCATTCACCTATCAAATTAATCAATGAATGCTGAAGAAATGCCATTCCACTTCACAGCAGTAACACTTGTAAAGACTGTAGAGAACAGATGAGACTGGGCAAGTTGACTGGGTACAGGGACATATCTAAAGCTTTGAAATAACTTCATGCATGAATGAACAAATAAAAAAAACTTTGTATGACATCAAAATTAGTGATGGATGCAAAATATGGAAGAAAGAAAATTATTTTTCTCTCCTGAAAACTTACCTTGAATGTTGAATTGTATCATTTATTATTCACAAAACAGAATAAGCAATGCTGCATGAAAGTGATTTACAATGCTGGAAACAGAACAGGTAAGAGCGCTTGTAGTTTACAAAGAAGTCCCATCTGTAGTCTCAGTTCATGGGTTTGAGGCAGGAGATTATGAATTCAAGGCCAGATTGGCTACATAGCAAGACTTGTCTCACTAACAAATAAAATAAGTCATTTTGTGCAAGTATTGCTTTATATGTCACAATGTAGACTTAAGACAGGAATGTGGTAAATAAAATATATCCAATAATAGAGTATTTAGATTCCTACACAAAATCATTATAGCAGGCAGGAAATGTACTGCAACACAAATGTTGAGATTAGAATCGAGTTGTCTTTCATCTATCAGAAATGTCCTTGTGTGCATGCCAGGAACACATTACTCTGAACTATAGAGCTGTCTCCAAAAAGCATAAAGGTTTGTAAAGATGAAAATAATTAAAGTAGAGAAATGTTTACAAAAGTGGAGGAAAGTGTTATACATGAAAATCTTTTAGAGAGCTAAACTACATTGAAAGTAAGTTCCCAGGCATTTCCTTGTTTCAGGGAATATTCAGCAGACATAGACTCATGACAAAATATAAGAGAACATGATGAAGAAAATAAAGTCATGATTATAAAATGAGGTAAGAACAGAGTTTTTTTTAATAAGTATTTTGTTTGATTTACCACAAAATCAACTTTAAACAATGATAGCAACAATGATATTTAAGTATATATGTTTAGCCAGATATTTTATTCATTAGATACATAATGTATACCAGTATGTCTTAATATTTATATGTAATAAAATGATTACTATGATAAAGAAAAATATTTTATGCATCATCTTCTATTTGTTGTTTTTCCATTTGCTGCAAGAGTACATAAAAATCTCCTCCCAAAGTAAATTTTAGTAAACAATACAACAGTATTAAGTATACTTTAGTTAATATAGACACTCCCCATTAGTTATATAGACTTATCCTATATAACTACAAATTTCTACTCTTTGAAAATATTAGGATAACATAGACTATGTTGCAAATATAAAATAATGTATAATACTATTTATGTTTATGCACACATTGTGTAATAACATCCAGCTTTATAAAGGGGACATTGCCACCTTGACATCTATTACATCATAGATGAATTTGAAGGATATTATGCTAAGTAAAATAAGCTAGGCACAGGTAACAAGTTCATTTCTTTATTAGCAAAGTTGATTTCTTTTTTCTTCATCTATTTAGAAAATGTCTTTAGAAGCAGAGACTATTATGAGAAATTCAACATCAGTAACAAATTTTATTCTTCTTGGATTGACAAATGATCCACAATGGCAGCTTGTGATTTTCACGTTTCTTCTTGTTACCTACATGCTAAGTGTGACTGGAAACCTCATCATCATCATCCTCACTCTCTCGGATGCCCATCTGATGACACCCATGTATTTCTTCCTTCGCAATTTCTCATTCCTGGAAATATCATTCACATCTGTCTGCATTCCCAGATTCCTTGTCACTATTGTGACAGGAGACAGAACCATTTCCTACAATGGTTGTGTGGCTCAGCTATTCTTTTTCATTTTCTTGGGATAACAGAATTTTACCTTCTGGCTGCCATGTCCTATGATCGCTACGTGGCCATCTGCAAACCTCTCCACTACACAACAATCATGAGCAACCGCGTATGCATTCTTCTTGTCTTTAGCTCATGGTTTGCAGGATTCCTGATAATCTTTCCACCAATTATCCTTCTGCTGCAGTTAGACTTTTGTGCCTCCAATATAATTGACCACTTCATCTGTGACTCTTCTCCAATTTTGCAACTTTCTTGCTCAAACACTCACTTTCTAGAACTCATGGCATTTTTGTTAGCTGTGGTAACACTCATGGTCACCTTGACATTAATTATTCTCTCCTACACAAACATCATTCGGACAATTCTGAGAATTCCTTCTACAAATCAAAGGAAAAAGGCCTTTTCCACTTGCTCCTCCCATATGATTGTTGTCTCCCTCTCCTATGGCAGCTGCATCTTCATGTACATTAAGCCTTCTGCAAGGGAGAGAGTGACTTTAAGCAAGGGAGTAGCCGTGCTCAACACCTCAGTGGCTCCTCTCCTGAACCCCTTCATCTATACGCTGAGGAACCAACAAGTGAAGCAAGCCTTCAAAACCATGGTCCAGAGAGTCCTCTTTTCCTCAAAGAAATGAACATGATCACAAGGAAAAAGGGACCTCTGAAGACAAGAGCTGGATGAAAATCTCTGCCCCTCTCCACATGGATTTTTTCCCAACAACTATCAAAGTATATTAAACTTACTGATAAGCTGGAGCAAAAATGTATGTAAAGAATAAATAGAAATACGAGATGAAATGTATTGGGTGTTTTAAATTATTTTTCTAAGGAAAATATAAGTTAAAGTATATAAAAAATTATGAATTTTATTTTATTCTTTGGTACTATTTTTTAAACGACAGATTATTCAACTGAAAATGTCTCTATTTCTACTAATCATATTTTAAAATGAAAATCATGACTTCTACAGTTCCATTGTTATCCTGACTTTATATTCATATTCCTTCCACTGGTACAATTGTCATTCCCACTGACACACCACCAAATGAACAGAAAGTGTTGAAGTGTGTACAACGGTGGAATGCTGCCTCTCTGCTGGTTATCCTGGAAATCACAAGTGCTGACTACTAATATCATAGACTTTTTCTATAATTCAACATGCAATAATGTCTTTCTATTTTCCGTTGTCTCCTTTACAGACGTTTTCTTCCCCATAGGCTCATAGTCAAGACAATGAATTTTAGAAGTAGCCAAGAAATGAAAATAGTGTTCCAAGGTTGGTCCTGTGCCTAATGAATCCCTCGGGTCCTGTGCTTCACTACGAGTAATTATCTTGGGACAGAAGCTGTGAGTCTGACTAGATACTGGGTACATCATTTGATTTTTAGCTTCTTGATTTTTAGCTTGATCTGAATGACAGGTAAATGTGATGAGCTCCATACATTTCCTATGTGAATTAAAGAAATAATTATTCTCATGAACAAGAACAATATGAAGCTCTGATTATTTCACTGTGTTCCTATGGAATGATGTACACTTCATTTGAATATATTCTAAACTAGTATAATTACAAAACAGTGATTAAGTGATATTTTATTTGATTATTAATTCTTTGTTGAGGCAATTTATAAAGAAAATGAAACTATGCAAGTTGGCTTTGTATGATAAAGCAAGTAAGCAGAAATATAAAATGAAAATCCAAAGAGTTTGGGAAAAGTGTAAAGATTAAGTAAATTAATATAAACTATAGACAGACAGGAGAGGGAACATGAGATGAGAGAAGATGAATGGAAAAGGAGAGAGTAGGGAAAATTTATCCTCCTGATTAGCAAAGCTTATCTGAAGACATCAATTCCAATTTAGGAAAACTGAAAAAGAAACTTACAAACTTCTGCATAAGTTCAAACTGCCTGGATCCATTAATACAGAAATACTTTCTTTTTTCTATTATTTTCGGTTTAAAGATTTGTAACAATTTGAAAAGGATCTTGCAGATAATCTGATTAATTAATCTGAAATACTGATAAAATTCTAAGTAATATTACTTGTGTGATTTTTTTTTACTTATATTTCATTGTCAGTAAGATCTTAATGATTATAACTGTTTTTCCAGCCAAATACCCTGTTACGATCTCAAGGAATACAATGTTGTAGATCCATAAATATATAAAATATGTTTAGACACTAGTCTATGTTATCATTTTCTGTATTAAATACAAATAAAATGATTAGTGTAAGTTACAGATTATCAGAGTTTATGCGTACATGCTCTTGGAGGTCTCATTGTGGCTCCATTCACAGAGGCAAGAAATACAAGAAAACACAAAGACGCATAAAGTTGACTGTAGTCAATTCTGTGACTGTGTAATAATTCCAGTCCTGTTGCTACTTCGGTATGCACAAGCATAGATGAGTACTCCTTAGAAGTCTAATTCTTGTTCCACAAGTAATTACAATATTTATTACCACAGTAAAAAAAATTATCTTTAATTTTTACTTCATCTCATTTTCACTATATATGATATGTACAACAAATAAAATTACATATCAATAATGTGTCTAGAAACAGGGAAAATGAGTCAGTTTGTAAAGGGTTTGTCATTCAAATATGAAGATCTGGGTTTGGATCCCCAACATCTAAGTAAAAACCAAGGTGTGATGGTATGCACCAGGAAGCCTAGCATAAGAATGTGGGCATAGGAGGAGGATCCCTGGAACTGGTGAGTTTCAAGTTTAGTGAGAAACCCTGTCTTAAACAAGATAGAAAGCAATAGAGGAAGACACCAAACATTAACCTTTGCCTACACACACACACACACACACACACACACACACACACACACACACACGCATATATCCCCTATGCACATACAAGCATGCACCACACAAACACACATAACCAGGTATACATTTATTAATAACATTTTCACTCAACAGCAAATTATTAGTAGTTAATCTTTGAAGAGTCAAATGTTATACATAAGTTTTTTACTGTATGGGTGCTTAATTAAAAAAAACCACAGAAGTCACAGTTTAGAGATGCAAATATAAAAGGCAGATTTTATTATTAAAAAATTAAAAACACTATCATTAATTACAACCATGAATGTCAGATTCAAAATCAGGAAAACAAGTATAAAATATCTAAAACAAAAAAAAAAATCCAGGTACAAGAATGGCAGGTTAGAAGAACAAAGGTAAACTCACAACACAGAGAAAATACATAGGAAAGAAAATGTAAATTGTTGAAAAAGAAAGGACACTAAGTTCTATCAATTTCATTTATTCTTCAAAGGGATTAAAAAATACAGACTTTCTCATACAAACAAAACATGGATGGATTTGTTATGAGTAGATCTGACCTATCAGAAATGTAAAATGTTCTTCAAGCATATGGAAATTTGTACAGATCAGAGACTCCATCCTACATGAAGAAATGTAGCTGAACAATAAATGAATGAGTTTTCTTTTAAAACATGTTTATAATACATGTTCATATTACTTTATATGTGAAGGTTTTGCCTGCATGTATCTATGTTCACTGCATGCATGCCTGTGCCCAAAAAGGTCAGAAGAGAGTGACAGATACTCTAGAACTGGAGTTATAGATGATTGTGAGCTGCCCTGTGGGAACCAGGGCTCAAACCCTGGGCCTCTGCAAGAGCAACAAGTGCTCTTAACCACTGAGCCATCTCTCCAGTTAAGTATTCTTAATGAACCAGGAAAACAAATACTGTTCAAATAATATACTAGTAATAATTTATTAATGGTGAAGACATGAGTATACAAAATGCATGACATCAGTGTCATAAAAATCAGAATATATTGTTATAAAATGCCACTCTATATGAACAGGTAGAGCGTAGTTTGAAATTGGCATAGATTAGTTTTATAATGTATATTGAAACTATTTAGTAACTGTTTAAAAAGTTAAATATACATCTGATAAATTAAAATGAGTGAGAAAAGAAAACTATATAAATTTATTATTAAGAATGTGAAATATTAGGAATGTAAAATAAGAATTCAAAATAAGTTAAAAAATTATAAATATAAGAGATATCTGAATTATAGCAACAAATATTTTAAATGTGACTAATTGGACTGTATAAATTAAAAGGCTGAGGTTATGAAGGGAATTAAAAACCACACCATCAAAAACTAAATTTAAATATAAAGATACAGCTAGGTTCCAAGTAAAGGAACAGATAGCCCAAAATGGAGCATATAAACCATACCCAGGGACAGAAAAGATGTAAGAGCCTGAGGTGGTGGGTGGCTACAAGGGAACGGTGTCTTGTGGACACAGCAGGGACACCGCACAGATGAAGTCACAGTAGCTATGACACTGTGGACAAGACTTGAGCATGTCTAAAACAGATCATATCTCAGTACGGAAACATGGGTCTACTGAGAACTGAACACTGCTAGGAGAGAAAACGGTCAACTTTCTCTAAAACTGTAGACCCTCATTAAGTCTACTACTCCCCAAGAGAAGACCACTCATATGAGAACATTTGCTTAGCATAAACTGGCCTCGAGGGGGAAAAAATTCACAAAGATGGATGGAAAGGTACAAAGTGGTGGGTCTAGGAAGTGTGGAAAGGATGAATACGATCAAAACATATGGAACAAAATTCTCAAAGAATTATTTTTTAAGTAAAGGAACAGAGGGCCTGGGGATATTGCTCTTAGGGTAAAATGTTTGCCTAACATACAAAAAGCCTTGGTTTTCAGCACACTGGATAAACTGCACTGTGGTAGACATCTGTAACCCAAACCCTTGGGAGACAGAGGCAAGAGAATCAGAAGTTCAAGGTCATTCTCAGCTACATATATAACAAATTGAGATAGAATTACTCAACAAAATATTAGTAAATCAAGATGAACAGTACCTAAACTAAATATCTATACTTAGTTTAAGAATTTGAAAATTATTTTAAACAATTTATCACACCACTAACCTTGAAAATAAAAATTATATGAATAATTAAAAATTATTGTATATCAAGTGAAGCATTCCTTTTAGAAGATTTATTTAATTTTTTTCTTTTCTTATTTAATTTTTCCCTCAGCCCTGGAAAAGATGCATTTGAGTAACATTATACAGACTGATCAGGTCATAGGCAGGAATATATATGTATATATACATTTTTGTGATAACAATTAATAAAAAAGAGGCCATATGCTTGAAAGAGAGAAAGGAGAAGTATATGAGAGAGTTTGGAGGGAGGAAAGAAAAGGGAGGAGTGATGTAATTATATTATCTCAAAAGTAAAAAGATAGAAAAGTAGGAGAAGAACTAGTTAAGAAGGAGATTGATGGGAGTTGGAGGGGCAATAAAGGGTAACTGTGGATGAACTTGATTAAAACACGATCCTGTATAAAAGTGTCATAATAAAGCCCATTATTAAGCATAATTAAGACATGCTAATTTAAATACTAAAATTTTTCAATGAGAAAAATAATAAACATTATATAAACTGAATGGAGTTTTATTCATCCACAAATTAAAATAAAATTCTGTCATTTGAAGAAAAATGAAAGATTATGCCACTCATCTTATTAAGTAATGTGTGTGAGATTCAGAGAGACAAATACTATATATTTTGCCATAGACAGTATCTAAACGTGT